TACTCTCACAGCCTTCGCTTTTTTCAATGCTAGCCAGATGTGAAACTGTCTCTGCTGCGCTCGGTGCTGCTATAATATGCAGTTTTCTTGTTCTAAAGTCATAGCAGTATTGGCTTCTTTAATTGCGACCACAACTCTTCTGACAAACTTGATGCTGGCTTCCATTCCCAAAACGGCTTAGGGTTTCGGGCGTAGGGTTTTGTGTCCACCCACTTCGCCGACACGCGCTGTAGATTTACATAGAATTTAGGGTTTAACTCTTGGGTCTTTCCGTAACAGGCCAACCTGTCTCGAAAACCCTACCACCAACAGTCTGAACCACTCCTCTTTTGCACTCCAGGCCTCCCTGAACCCCAACACCATCGATGTTCGGCTCAAGATTCCAAGCCATGTATTAATAAAGGTCCTTAAGCATCGCTTGGTATGTAGCATGCAGAGCGGGCGAAGAACACACAACCAGACCCGATGGGAAACCGTGACTCTGGCAACCCATAAGCACCCAACGGTCTAACAGAAAACCAAAATCCGGAAAGAGCCCCAAAGTCCAGAAAGGAGACCCCGTCTGAACCACAACAACCGCCGAAGCCCCAAACCCTCTTAGCTCCTACCGAAGCCTTACAAAAAAAGTCTACTTCTGGAAAATCTAGACTCCTAACTCCGCCCCGCCTCTTCGTGTTGACAGCACCGTTCTAGCAGCTCCTGTCTGCAGAAGAGCATACCAAGCGCGTTCAGGATTTAGGAAGCTACCGAAGTACATCGCTCTTGCAAGCACTGCGCAAAAGCGAAACAAAGCCTAGAGGTTTCCGATCTCCATAACTATCTGAGTTTGGGATGCCCAAGAACCTGAATGCCTCTGTAAAGGGTTGAGTGTCTCGGCATTTCGGTTTCAGGTTTCAGTGCATAAAACCAGAGGCGTTGAAGATTTGCGTACTGGAGTATGAGGGTTCGGGCTAGCTTCCTGGCGAGAACCTGGTCGCACTCTATCTGATTACTGTACCATCTGCATGTAGTGCTGCAGCTGGCTAGTATCGAAATCATCACGGCTGTCCAACATCTTTATCACCACCTGAAGCACAAGCGGCAGCAGCCGACGCCGGCGTCACCACATACATCCTCACCTTTCCGGTATCATCCTAAGATCGGATGCCAGAAAAAAAAGAAAAACAGCTCGCAGAATTCATCCAGTGTTTGAAACCCGACCGGCTCCGCGCCTCCACCTGGCAAAGGCGGCCCGGGAGGCCGGCTTCGAAGTCCCGCAGAGGCACCTTCCCAGAGACTCCAAAACCCCCCCTCTTTAAGGAATGCACCTTTAATGGGCTTCCTTTAAAGGGTTCCTTCAAGGGATCTTTTAGGGAATTCAGGAATGTGCCTTAAATCATGTTAGGGATCCTGACATAATTTAAGGAGTCGTTTAAGGCATATTCCTTAAGTTACAGATTTTGGAGCTTCTGGGATTAACCGTTTCCGATCTGGGCTTGATCGGAGAAGTCTGCATACGTACAGCTCAAGCTCCGAAGCAACTCGTCCTGTTGTCAGAAGCATCATCATTATCATCATTATCATCACTATCATCCTCTTTGCAGCACTTGCAGATACTTGCGAGTGTCAATGGAGGCTGTCCGGCTGTCGCTTATGTAACGCTCAGCAGCTATTCAGGCCAGAGCACACAAAGTGTTGGATTTCGGGCACGCTTTGCTTCCCCCTTGGACATGATGAGCTCTGAGGCTCATCTCGGGAGCTGCGCAGAACGAATGGACCTTTGATGTATTCCCGTGTCCACGCACGGTTTTTGAGTGCAGAGCCTTTTCCAACCGCGCGATTTATGTCTATGTCGGGATGGTGGGGACCACAGGCACGGAGAGGGACCGGAATATCACAAAAAAGCAGATCTTTCGGCAAGTGCATCTGGAGAATTTTTGGAACGAAGATCTCTCCCTGAAAGGCCTCGCTACAGATTCTGCACCAGACCCCTTGCCAGCTCAGATCATGATTATGATCAAGACGACAAGTATCAGCAACATACATCGTGAAGATCCGCATCGGTTTTCGAAGACCACCAGCTCCGTGGCGCCTCGACTTGGCAGAGGCGGCCCTGGATGCTGGTGGTGTCGCAGTCCTGCACGGGGACCTCGCCGGGATGGCTTCGGGCCTGGGACCTCCGGCCAAGCGCGTAAGGCTGCGTACTGTAAGGGCCCTAACAATTAGAATAGGGTTCCCTTTAAAGGGATCCGTCAAGGGATAGCTGGGTTCCCCCTCCCCCCCCCCCCCCCCCCCCCCCCCCCCCCCCCCCCCCCCCCCCGTGCCCGTTTTCCTGGCACTTCCTATCAACACCCTGGCATAAAAAAACATCGACCGCCCCCTCGCCCTGCCGCTACACAGCCGAGGCGGGCGGCGTAGCGTTAAAATTAGAAAAGGGTCTTGGGGCCCTTGATACTATAGTTATCATCAGAAACCCCCCCAAAAAAGTATAGGTAGCTACTAAGGTTCCTTTATTAGGCTGGAGCTCGGCAGCGACAAGCAGCCCCCCCAATCTGTGGAGACAGCAGCCCGACTCCAAACAAGGAAGCCACAAACCAGGCAGGAGACGAGGCGGGTAAAGTTCCAAGTCAAGTTCTCGGAGCTACATGGGTGGTTGTCAGAATTAGGGTCCCTTTTTGGGTGCCCTGGATATTTAGGTGCCGTATTACAATAGGGACCCAAAAAGGGACCGTATTTTTGACAACTACCCACATGGGCAACACATACACCACCACCATCACCACCACCATCACCACCGAGACCACCACCAGCCGCAGCATCATCAGAGTATATCAGAGGCATCAGCAGAACCGTACTTGAGGCCAGGCTGGAGGAACCGCAGTCCGAAACCTGAAGCCCAAACCCTAAGCCCAAACGCACCTTTGACCAATGCAGTGGCTCCGCCTCGCGCCACTGAGCCTGAAGCCGGGGGCAGTTGCCTTTCTGGGGTTTGAGCTCTGCAGCCAAGAAGGCTTGGACATACTATTACTGTTCTATTACTACTGCTATAACATAGCATTACTACTGTGGACATCAAGGCAGTTCTTACGTGCCTTAAGGGTCGTTTCGCCTCGGGGTTTCTTTCGACGTCGAAAAAATCACACCCTTCTTTCCACGCTTCGGGTTTAGGGTTTAAGGCACCTGGTGTAACTGGGTGTCAGGGGCTTCAGCTCCACTGACTCTGGAGGTACTGGGCCACTGGTCTGTGGAACTTTCCAGAACGGGCTCTTGTCCTGCCTGTTTGTGCATTCAAGCTTTTCAGTTTGAGCTAGGTTTCGGGGTTTTTTTGCTCCAGGGTTCCCGCTTCAAGGCTTCTCGGGAGGACGGGCATGAGTGCAGGGACGACGGGAGGGAAGAGTAGGAGGAAGAGGATATGGCGCTGGCGGTAAATGGTGGTGGTGGTGGTGGTAGTGGTGTGTGGGTGGCGATGACGATGACCACGACGGCCACCAAGAAGATCAGGATGAGGGCAGGCCCTTGTGCGTATCGGCCTTTTCCACAGGCTTGATTAGTGCTCGCCCGGCCAGAATCCCCTAGCACATCGCACTCGCGGCGAGATGCTGAGGCTAAGTACACACAATACGCATTATCTTACGAGCTACACTGTGCGTATCGGCCTAAAGGCCCAAAAGGCTATGAACCCAAAATGAAGGCTCTCGAGAGGGAGTGGTTCACGACACCGCATCGAGCCGACCCTGCGCAATCCTGCATCATGGCTGCCTCGCTCAGAAAATGCTACTGTGGTGACCAGATCTCTGAGGGTTCGGGGCTTTGGGCCTCATTTCCACTAACTCGGGCGACGAAAGTTTCCCCCGCCTTTCTCCTGAGATGCCCAGAGAGCCCAATACCCCTTTAATAAAGGAGTATGACTTAAATCAAAATATGAATCCCCTTATTATTTAAGGTCTATTCCTTGATTAAGGGGTATTGGGCTCTCTGAGATGGTTCATTGCAGCATCCCCGGCTTCGGTCGCACCTCGAGGTGGTCCATTCTGCGCAACTGCCTCGGCAGCGGGTTTAGGGTTGAAGTTCTGTCGCCTTTGGAGCTGTTGCCATATGGGCTCCACTTTACAGGCCTAGGTCTTAGATCAGGGTGCCCAAGTCCCACATGCACAGGCACAACGTTTTGGGGGGCTTGCACGCTGAAGCCTGGCACGAAAAGGGAAGCCGAGCTGTGCCGAGCCGCGATTGCAACACCTCGGACATGCCCTTCACAATAAACGAAAACCTGGGCAGCTGGGGAGATACATGCATACAAACATGCATGCCTACACATACACACTCATCTTCATATACATACATGCATACATAGATGTAGACAAGCAGGCATACATTGATGCAGGTATGCGCATGCAGGTGTGCGGGGATGTGCCTGCAAATATTAATAATGCCTAACGTAGACCTTAATGAACAAGCCCCGTTTGAACCAGGGTCAGAACCTGCAGGCCGGGCCCCTAGGTGCACTTTCACGAGACAGAGTTTAGGTCGTTGCAGCGGGCTGGATTCTCTGGTCTGGGCTGATTTGGGCTGGCGAGTTTAGGTGGACAAACCTTTATGTACATCGTAGCTAGTGTGTAGATGCAAGAAGCACATACATGCACATCCACATGTCTGAACAACAGACATTGAGGTAAATCTGGTCACGGATGTGGCTGTGGATAAAGCATATAGATATGGATACAGATAACGGTAAAGGTATGTAGGTCTCTGCGAACACATACTCTTCTTGTTAACCTGTTTTCGTCTTTCGAGCGCTTATTGAGCTGTTCTTTGCAAAGTTTCGTTCTGTTTCTATGTACATGTACGAAGGCTCGGGCGATCGCTGCCGGCGGAAGTGCAGCAGAGAGTCTACAGATTTTAAGATTCGGCATCCAGAGATGCTACGGCAAGCATGTAAACACGTGTGTATACATACAGGAAAACCCCTTTGCTGTAGACATGCCTGAATGTTTCTAAATACACACAACCACTTCTCCTCTGTTCTAAGCGCATCTTACCGGCTCAAGCAAGAGTTCGAAGATGTCCCGCTGGGCTCGGCACTCTGCCATCGCGGCGTCCTGTTGCGGTCCGGAGTGGGGCTCGGACTTGCCCGATGGCGGTTCATGGTCCGCAGGTGGCATGAAACTAAGATGAGAGATGGAGCAGCAGTTCATGCTCAACAATCATCAACAGGAAAGGGCCTCGAAGGGCATCTAGGGACTAGGGTTGTACTGAGCCGGCTGCAGTGTTAAAGGTGCTCAGATCAAAGGCTGGTGTAAGAAAATTACATAATCTCATTACTCCGGTGCGTATGTATGCTGAGCCCAGAGGCCTTAGATTCTCTGCGAGGGTGTCGGCAGGAAAACTACTGCAAACCCCCATCCAGGAACCTTGTGCTTGAAATCATCAATTAGTTCATATTTTTTTCATGCTGACATTAACCTGACTATTAGTAGTCAGCAAAGTCATACAAGCAATGATACTCCAAAAATCCGCCAAAGCCCCGAAACCACCGGAGCCCCGGAGGCCTTCGCCAGCGCCACCGCCCTGGTCAAAGTGGTCTCGCGGAGCCGCTCCGCCTGGGTTTCGCTCTCGACTCTCACTCCTTGCTTGTCAAGTTTCGGCTTGGGTTTAGGGTTTAGGGGGATCTATAAGGGTACTATAAGCGTTTAGGGTTGAGGGTCATAAGGGAACCATCAAGTTTTAAACCCGGGATAAGGATGCAGGATCGTCAGGGAGCTGTGGTTTCGACACGAACACCCGCACAAACTGGCACGAATCTTTCAAGGGTTCCGGGTTTAGGGTTTCCTTTGGACTAGGACTGTATAGGGATCGCAGTACTCCAAATTGAAGGTTGCCTACTCGCACAGTTGCACAAAGCAGGCAAGGCTTCAAATCAACCGCCCATGGTGACGCAACGACACAGGGGTCCTCGATGCAACCACCATCCAATCATATCGACGACACCGGGCCAGCAAGTGAACTAATAGTTTTATAATAGTAGTATAGTACTACTAGTATACTACTCTTAGACGATTAGCACAATACTCCAGCCCATCTTTGACCAAGGCTCATCTTTGCAACAGTCGCCCCGCAAACATGCAATCGAGCAACACCAGGACAACTGCTGCTGTTTCAGAAGTCATGCAATTTTTGCCATCTACTGCCACAGCCGACAGCCTACCAACTCAAAACTGTAGGGGTGTCACATGATACAGAAGACATCCCTGTCCAGGTCAAGCCCACGACCCGTGACGCTTGGGTCAAGAATCAGCTCACACGGTTTCGGGCTTTAGGGTTTCCCTCTCGCATGGAAACAGGGGTTGGGGTTTAGCGCCGCCAAGGCAACAAGTGCAGGGAAACATTCGATTCAGGACAATAGGCACACCAGAGCATCAAATCCGACATTGCGGTTCCAATATGCGAAACGAATACAACATTTCATGTTCACAGCGACAAGGGCTGGGTTTTCACACACACCACTGAACAATATCGGCATAAGAGACATCCTTCAACTTCCTAGGCGATCTGTCTCCATGCGGAACTCGGTGCAATGAAAGTACCATCGAAGGCATGAATGGGGAACACAGGCGCAACAGATTTACAATAAGTTACATTGTAAGAACACATGCATTCCATCTCCAGATTGGGGATGCTCATACAAGCCCGAAGTAATACTGAACTCCTTACCTGTAAAGTCATTGTTGACACTTCCCGTTTGAACCAGCCTCTTGCTGCGCCCTGGCGATCTGGTTGGAGAACTTCGATTCCTCGATGGCATCTGTGGGACGGCGGATGATGCATTACAAGGTTCCACGATCCCGGAGGCTTCGGCTAGTTTGCTTGAGGTTTTACCGCCTAGTTAATCTAGTCGTAATGTCAGGATCTAGACAGCACGGAACTTCTTTCAATGGGTGGGCACAAGACACGCAATCAACGGTTACACAGACGCACGGAGCACGAAGTGCCATCTCACAGCAGCCAGCCGCCACACAAGGACCCCCGGACTAGCCAATAGAAAACCTTAGCCCTAGACCGCTCAGAACAGCAATGATAAGGCTTAAGCTAAGGCTTTGGAACTCGCAAGGTTCCGTCTTGTGAGTGAGACTGGCAGAAAAGCCGGCAAACACCAGGGCAACAAACACCACAGCCTCAGGCGATGAACACGACCACGAGGGCAGTAGTGCAGCAACATGGCACGAACAGCCACGCAAGAAGCAGATTAAGAGAAAACAACAGCACCAACAACCAGCGAATGAGAAACAGTGTTCGTGATAATCGCACAACATGCGAAACAAGGGAAAGTGCAGATGAAGAACAAGCAACAGCAACCAGATTCTAATCACTCTAGTAGAAGATACAGGAACCCAGAGCCTCCAAAACCCCTTCATTAACGAATATGCCTTAAATATCCTTAAACCATATTAGGGATCCTATTATGATTTACAGTATAGTCCTTACTTAGTGAATTTAGGAGGCTCGGGGGAGCAGAGAGAAGTCCCACAATGGTCCGGCCCAAGAGTCTAAGTGAGAGAGCCGTCGGAGCACTGCCTGAGATGGACCAGCTCAGGGTTGAGGGCTTCGGAGGGTTTAGGGCTTGTTGTTATTTTTTGAATGCCTTTTTCCATCTTGCAGCGTACTGTAGTCCGGAATCCGCGAAGGTTTAGGGTTCAGGGGTTTCGGGGGTTTAGGGGTTTAGGGGTTTTGGGGTTTAGGGTTTAGGGTAGGATTTAGGTTTTAGTGCTTGGGGTTTTACGGGTTTCGGGGTTCTGTCTGCCGGAGTTGGGCGTCTAGAGGGGTTGCTTTCCTACCGCGTGGCCCCCGGTTGCGAAAGCCCGACACGTAGGGGCAGCCGCCGAAGTCCTGCAGCGCGGTGACCTCTCTGAACAAGGAACTAACTTTAGAACAAAACCCCTGTTTGGAACCTGTGCAGCCGAAGAGACGCTGGCAAAGCTGGGTGGAGGCGAGCTGTCTACATCCTTCGGCGGAGGCCGATGGAATCGGACAAAGTCTCATAAGCACAGCATCTGACCGTCTTTCGGAAAGAGCGAAGCTCCATATAACCCCGGACCCTTGCTTTCATAAGCACCCTCAGTGGTGTAAACTATATTTCCTTAAAGGCCCCCTACGCCCCCGCTCCGCCTACCCCCTAAGGCCCTAAGGGTCCCGATGATGCTGAGCCGCATGAAGCTCGATGGAATCAATGGATTCGTTCATGAAACCCGATCAACAGCTCTCCTAAATCCTACTCCTGGCCTGTCACAGCCTCTGGCGCCCTTGTCAGCATAGTGACCTATTGCTGAGATGTCTTTCCCTAGGACCTCTTTAAGCCGACCCACTATGCCTGCAGCAAGACGGTGGTCATAGGAGGCCGAAATACTACTTGCACCTGAGGATGACACGAGCAATGACAACAGTCATCGTACAGATACTCACTATCATCATCGCACTCATATTCGCATTCACAGTCACGAGCAAACTGACAGCAGCAGCAACAAAAACAACCACACCAGCAGGAGCAGTAGCAGCAAACAGAAGGGTACATTGACAGCTGAAGTTGCACCTGGCGCGGCGAGGCTGCTGCACTCTCCATGGCACCACAGACCTCCTGCAACCCTCAAAAGGACGCGCTTCAACACGACTTCTTAAGTTTGTTGAATCGTCTAGCATGCTCTATAGCTTGTAGCTTGGGGCTTTTAGGTTTTAGTAGCTTGCATGAGAAATATGCCTCCCTCAAGCCATAGCTCCGACAGGTCATTTCACGCCAAGAGGACTCTGAACCGTGCTGGCCGCACTTGGCCTTACAGAGGGGCCTTCATCATAAGAGAAGAGTTTTGGAGTATCTTGGCATGATGATAACAAGGAACGCCGAGGAATAACATTAATAAATAGCTACTCTGGCCCTTGTCGTGTCTGGTGATTTTTGGCCCTCGGAAACACATCACCCATCTTCGCTCGCGTGCGTCTTTCATCCTTCAACCGATCAGTTACGACGAGCGCTCTATGCTCCTTGTGAATTCCTGCACCCGTAGAGCACCTGACCCCGCCTATCGGAGCAGTGAAGCTTCCTTGGCAGCGTATTCAGGGCCACTGCGCTGGCCCCCAAAGGAACAATGAAGCATCCACGATCAAGCACTTACTTCCGATTTGTCTTGAACCGCAATCTGAAGCTGGGCCAGGACCTAAGACAGGAAGGCGGGCAAGACTCGTGTCGGTGCTTTTCGATTCCTTCACTTGCCTCCGCAGATAGCATTTCGCTTTAGGCCCCTCTCTGAGGATTCTCCTCGCATCGGGCAAAGGAGTTTTTATGCATTTTTGCACACGGACAGGCTGGCCCCGTAATAACGCGAATAGGGTTTCGGGAATACGAACATTACACGATAAGACTGCAAGTCACATCGGGAAACCACCTCTAATTCCTGCAAAAGAAAGCAGCCTTGCAGCTGCAGGAACCGCGCCTCAGAGCGAGAGAGCCTCGCGCCAGCATCCATCCCCAAGGCGTGACCCGAGAGCCCAAACCTGTGAACCCTCAACTCTAGACACGCCTGAACCCTGAATACACTTAAGACCTTGAACCCTAAAGGCCCTAAAGACCCTGAAAAAAGAATCCTCGATTGGGCCTTTTTGGGGGGTAAGCCTGCATGAGTTCGAGCTCACAGGGTGGCAAGCCTTAGTCTGTTTTCGTGCTTCCATGGCTCTCATCCACCACTCACAGCAAGTGACAAAGACAAAAGGCCCAACACTAACCTCAGAGATGTGTCCGAAATAAATCGTCTTGACAAGTATTGTGCAATTTTGCGCGATAGTCGGTTGATCTCGTCAGGCTGCCGTTTATGCAACACTGTTGTGTTGCTTGGCAGGTCTTGCGTGCCAGATGCTGAATGCACAAGTTGAACTATGATTCTGTCCTAGTACTAGCAGTCGCTGAGCAAGATGGCACCCACTAACATCGGCTGCTCCATCCTTTAAACTGGGCGGTGCTGCCGAGCCAATGAACCCCTCGAAGGTAAGCCTGCTTCCTTGCCTATGGCGAGCACACCCCTGTTGCCTTTGGGAGTACGTGGTAGCTGGCACGAACAACTTCATTTATCTAGCAGGCTTTCGTGTCAGCACGACACGCACGAGGGCTCGGAGTTACTGCAATTCACAACCTAGCTTCTTAAACAGCATCACACAGCAGAGGCATTTTCAATGGTCTGATCTCGTTCTTCGGCCGAAGAAGGAAGTGTTTGGAGACGATCCACATGGCGAATACGACTAGGAACACGAGCCAGATGGCCTCCGGCACGGGCATCTGTGCCATCTTCGCATTCGCTTGCTCCGCTTCCGAAGTTGCCAAAGCATCAACGGCTGCACCATTCCCATTCTTCTTCTCCTTCTCGCAAAACTCTTGTGGCTTTGAATCCGCAAACATGTACTTCACGCACATGTAAACTGCCTTCATGCACACATCGGCCGGCAACTGTTGGAAACAGTTTGCCATCTGCTTGTCGAAACAGAATGATGGGCCACACTCCGGACCAGATGGACTCTTGCCCTCTTCGTTCTGGAACGTGTATTTTATCAGTTCCGCCCTGGGGTCTGACATGGCCGATACCACATAGACCGAAAGCAACAGTAGCCTTACCATGTTGCCTGGATCACCAAGGGACACAAAAAAAAAGCACGGACTTTAGCCAAAGTGGCTGCGGGAGGGGCAAAGTATGGTTTCAAGGCCGGGAACAACGGCTCCCACCGCGAGCTTCGCTACCTCTTTGAAGAGCTACAAGGCTCCAAGCTTCGAGGAGGCAAGACTAAATCATGCCACGACGACAAGCAGATGATAGTGGTGCCGGCGCTGATTATGGCGCGGAAGGCGGCGATGGTGATAGTGAGGGATCCGAATGGTACTGGTGATCCTGTGAAAACCATGATGATCGTGAGTGGTGCCGCCCGCTATGAGAATTGCAATGGCAAAGCGCGGCACAAGCGAGCGTGGGATTAAGGCGAGGACGGGGATGACGATGATGATAAAGAACAGCAAATGGAAGAAGACGGTGATATCTGACATCATATGCATACATACATACATACATACATACATACATATATATATATATACATTACATACATATGTCAATATCGTAGCTGATGGGGAGGTCAATGCCCACCCCCTGCGGTCCGATGACAGTGGTGATGGCGACATTGCTCCACCGTCAAAGTTAACAGCTAACCACCACCACCACCACCACCACCACCACCACCACCACCACTACCACAACCCTCTTCTTCATCATTCACCGCGATTAGCGGCGTCATCATCCGATCTTCATCGTGACTTCTTTTCACAACCACCGTGATCATCATCTTGTTCTTCATCTGGTGATCCGAGCGATAGTTGGAGACTTGTCGTCAGCCTATCCAGAACCACACAACATCGGAAACACCACGCCGTGCCTCCACCTGCCGGAAGCAACCCAGCCGGAAGAGATTTGAAGCGGTCTTCGTCGTCCTCCGTAGCCTCGGCAACTTGGTGTTAAGCGAGATGATGTTGGTGATGATGATGACGATGGCATCAGATTGTGGAGATGGTGATGAGAGCGGAAGAGATGAGTAAGGTATTGACGACAGTGACACTGTTGATGGCGGTGCTGGGGGGATCGTGACCATAAGTTTGTTCACGCAGTCATGCCCTGAGGGTGACCTTAGGCATGGCAATGGTGCTGCTGATGCTAGCGGTGCTGATAGTTGCTTCGAATGGCGATACGACGACGATGATGGTGGTGGCGGTGGTGGTTGTGGTGCTGGCGGAGAGAATGACGCCAATGACAACAATGATTATTTCAGTCATACTGTCACTGGTGCCTATGTTAGTGGTATCTGCCTCGTATCACAAAACTCTTGCAGCTTTGTATCAGCAAACATGAACGTAGATGGCTTTCAATCTGCAAGTGCATAAGGTACATGTTCACGGGATACCAAGCCGGAAGAGTTTTGTGACAAGGAGCGCTGGAAAGGAAACGCGTGTATGTTGAAACCTCGCCCTTGAGATCAGCCGAAGCCGATGACACACACAACGACAGCAACAGCGTCTTTACTATACCATGGCACTAGACTAGACCCACTAGGCCGCTAAACGGGCTGCGGGCGCGGGTTCAGCATGCGTGGCTTCAAAGGTGGGCTTTGCAGCTCCGACAGCAGAACTAACCTTCGGGTATCTACAAGCTGTTGTGCTGAAGGGCTACAGAACTGCAAGCTTCGAGCTCAACATTGCAGCACCAGGGTGTGCCACGACATGCAGTGTTCAACTTCGGTAGGGTGATACCCCTGTCGCTCGGCCGCCGGCGCAAAACAAAGAAGCCGAACACACAGACCTTAGAACAGCCGCGAGGATGCTTATGACGAGCACATGGTATCACAAAGAGGGTGATGATGATGATGATGATGAGCAGGAAGATGGTGAATGAAAAGGTGCCTATGTCGTTAGTGATGGCGATTGCTCTGCTGGCGACGGGTGAAGACAAAGACTGACGAGTTGGCAGCGTGATGGCGGTGGTCATGACGATAAAGAACGGGGGTTGCAAACTGTCTGGTGCAGATGAAAGTCACATCGAGGATTAAGATGGAGATGAGGATGATGATGATGATGATGATGCTGACGGTGATGGTGATGACGATGATGACGATGGTGATGATGGTGATGATTAACATAAAGGTGATGACGAGAAGGAGGAGAATAAGGAGGAGGGGCGAAGAGCAGGAGCAGGAGGTGATGATGACGAGAAGATGATCCAAAACTAGTCCCAGCATTATCATCATCCACACCAGCATGAACATGATTATCAATCTCATCCCCATCAACATCCTGATCATCGTCGTGATCACCCTCATCATCAAGACCATCATCATCATCATACCATCACCAGCATCAGCACTTCTGGTTCTGCAACATCCTCATATCCACCATGACAGTCCTCATCTTCTTCATTAACATCACGGCGACGTGTTCAAAACGATGAGAGGGAAGAATGATTGCCCGCCATCAGAAGCAAGCAACATTGAAAACACCACGCCGCGCCTCCACCTGGCGGAAGCAGCCCAGGCACTGAGAGCATTGAAGTTTCGCGGCCTTCGTTGGGCTTATGGCTTCTGGCGTGGCTGCCTCTGGGGTCAAGGGTTTTGCCTCTCACAACTCGCCCTGGCAAGGCTGCATAAGTTCGAGCTATTCCGAGGTCATGGGGTGGCAAGCCTTCGCCTGCTTTCCTGCTTTCATGGCTCATGCGCGAACCGCAGCAACTGACTGAGAAAATAAAGCTCGACACCACTACAAGCGATGCGTTCCAAATCGTCTTGACACGTACTGTGCTCTTTTGGCCGATGGTCGGTGGATCTCGTCCGGCTGCCGTTTATGCAACACTGTTATGCTGCGTGGCAAGGCGCGCATCTAGAATCTTGGGTGCCGCATGCGGAATGCGCAAGATGAAACGGTACAGTCAGCTTTGCTGGCAGGGCTTGCGGTTTGTGTGGTCATTCTGGCACCCACTGGCATCTGCTGCTCCACCCTTTAAACTGGGCGGTGCTGCCGAGAAAGTGAACCCGTCGAATTCAAGCCTGCTTTCTTGCCTGTGGCGGGCACTCTCGCTGCTGCCTTGGGAAATACGTGGTAGCTGGCACGAACAATCCTTTATCTAGCAGGCTTTCGCGTCAGCACGACACGAACGAGGGCTCGGAGTTAATGCAATCCACAACAAATTTTCTTAAACGGCATCACACAGCAAAGGCATTTTGAACGGTCTGATCTCCTCCTTCTTCGGTTGACAGCGGAAGTGCTTTGAGACAACCCACATGGTGAACACGACTAGGAACACGAGCCAGATGGCCTCCGGCAGGGGCATCTGTGGCATCTTCCGCGGCTCTGCTTGCTCCGCTTCCGAAGTTGCCAAAGCGTCAATGGCTGCACCATTCCCATTCTTCTTCTCCTTCTCGCAAAACTCTTGCGGCTTTGTGTCCGCAAACACGTACTTTACGCACATGTAAATGGCCTTCATGCACACGTCGGCCGGCAGCTGTTGGAAACAGTTTGCCGTTTGCTTGTCGAAACAAAATGATGGGCCACACTCCGGACCAGACGGACTCTTGCCCTGTTCGTGCTGAACCGTATAATTTGAGATCTCCCCGGTAAGATCCGCCGAAGCCGATACCACACACAGCGACAGCAGCGACAGCAACATTGTCTTTGCCATGGTGGCTAGACCACCCCTTGGGGCACACAGAAAGCACTGATGTCTTAAGCCAAAGTGGCTGCAGGCGACAGGGTTCTGAGTGGAGTTACCGTGCAAATGAAAAGTCTCCTGGTCACCACAGAATAACACGTAAACCCTGGAAGACAGCGCCGGCATGCAAGAAGTCTTGTTTCAAGTAGCTCATCCCATCAAGAACCGGTGTTTGACATGTTTCCTGTCTCTGTCGGTTGTTCTGTGCGTTCATCGTCCCTTCGTGGGCAGCTTAAGACTCGAACTGCAACTATGGCGATGGAGACTTTTTCACCCTCGGAGCTGAGGCCCACGACACTCCGGTTGGAGACTATCTCCCGAAGCAAAGAAAATGGCACAGGCCCGGACGATCCGAAACCGACATAGCTTTCCTGCTGAATACGACCCCAAACCCTAAACCCTAAACCCTACAACGCAAACCCTGAACGCGGGTAGCAAGGCATCAACATCCGCAAGACTGAGAAGCTCTCTCTGACAAAACTCGAGGCTCCGGCCTAGCCCGATGTGCTCGCCCTCTTTGTCACCACCTCCCGCGGCTGCATCGTTTGTAACGAAGCAGGAAGAGGCCGTGTTCCTACTGCCCTAAACCAAACCCTTTTGTTTGGCACGGACTGCCCTGAACCCTAAACCTCTAAGACCTGAAACATCCAAGACAGACGTGCCTCCTCGGAAGCTACGAAGCGCTCAGTGTAGAAGGCGCGGGCGAAAAGAAACGTCATCATCATGCAGACGCCCTAGGCTCGCAGTTCAGGGCATGGTGCACAGCACTACCAACGTGACCCGCAAGAGTCCACTGCAGATTTCTCAAACTGGTTCCAGTCCCTTATCCGCTGGTATGGTAGAATTTTGCCAACTTCCATTACGTCTTGAACCGTGGTGCTCGATCCAGCCCAAGATTTCCAACACTCTCGAAGACTCTTCCACAACTCCTCGACACATGATCTCAGCCACGCGGCACCGGCCATGCCGCAGATCAGGAAGATCAGCCTCTGCTGAGACACCTGTGAGTTGCGTTTCTTTAGGGGTGTGCCCGGCCGTGCAGTGCTGCTATAGACTTCTACACCTTGATGGGCCTGTACAAGATGTATATTTATGCCGCAAACCTATCTCTGAAACCGAGGACCTGATGTACCAAACACTGATGGGAGATGCGCGCTTAGAAAGTCTGAACCTAGGCCGGGATGAGCATTTCGCGAGTTGCAACCATGAAGGTCACCCTGCGTGCTTCACAAGGCGGGTGCGCATCACAGAACTCAAAAGGTAATCAAAGCCTCTGGGCCTATCAAGGCCTTCACGAGCGTGCTTGCCAAGCGCACTAGCTGAAACTCTCAACTCAAAAGTTTCCTATGGAGGGGTGCTAATGCAGGGGCCATAGCAACTAGAATATGGTGTTGGGCCATATTCCGCAATAGTTTTGTTAAGGAACCCAATAATGACTTTGGAATCTATTTAGGCCCCAAGTCTTCAGCTTCCTCACTGCAGCTGGCCCACGCTCGACCTAGCCCAGTGGAGGTCATTGGAAATCAAGTAGGAGGTGAGCACCATCATCACCTCAAAGCAGCCCAAGACTCGCGTCCGACATCTACTCCTGCTATATTACACCATAGTTACAGGTTGCACTTCAAGAGGCTGCAGCCATCAACCTAGCATTCCATCTGAGCCCATCCAGATCATGGAACGTGCTGGTGGGGATTATATAAAAACACAAATTTGAAAACAGCGGAAAAGTCAATATTGGAGTATCTTTCATGCGCACATGGTTGCAACGCTTGCAGTCTCGGAACTGAAACTTCAACTTGCCGTCTTACGACGCTCTCTTGCGGTTCTTTGGCACCGCACGCACGATGCTTGCTCATATGCTTTTCGTTGCTAGCATGTGCCAAGCACGACGGTCTCTGCTTGTGGACTTTAGGTTTTGACGTAACCGTCGGCACTTTCATTTTATTGTGAAAGTGCTCCTCTTGCTGTCTTGCAGCTTCAAGTCTAACTTATTGTATACATTTAGTTGCTGACGGGGGGACGGCTGTTTCAGGACTTGTGCTGCAACCGGCTATGTCTTCCAGACACGAACAACGCGCCCTACAACATTACAGAATGTCACGGCGAAGACCACTGATTAAGTTGGCAAGTGGATTGCTCTGGACGTTCTGAATACATGATTTAGGATCTGCAAGTTTTGGGTTTTGCCGCAATTGCACAGAGAAGGCCCTATACGGCGACGCTTACCGTCGGAGCTTAGCTGGCGGGTGGCCAAGGCCACAATCAGTAGAAATTGCTCCACGACATTCCAAAACGACACCTGCGAACCGTGCAGGTCTAAAGAAATCTGCTATATAGGCGGCAACTATGATACAACATCAGCATAGAACGCGAGAGCATCAGCACAGTGTCAATATGCCCTGCAGGCTCTTACTTTTCGGGAATTGCTCAAATGATGGAGCTCAGGCGTCTTAAGTAAGGTTGGTTGTCGAGGCCTAAGGCTTTGGCATCTTCGAACCTACACCCTACACCCTAAACCCTAGCTCACCGGGTCCGCACTCTATCCAGGCTAGCATTGAGGTGGGTGGCGGTGCGAAGGGTCGGCGATCTGACGGTCAAAGCCCTGAATCTCCATAACGTAAGAAGAAGAACAACAACAACAAAGAACAAATGCAATACAAAACTAAGGATAACAGTCACAATAACAATAAGAATAATCGAGATAATATTGACAATAAATGAAGAATAAAATCAGAACAGGAATAAGAACAACAACAACAACAACAACAACAACAACAACAACAACAACAACAACAACAATAATAATGATAATAATAATAATAGTAATAGTAATAACAATAATAATATGAATAGTACTAGTAACTTGAGAAGAGGGCGACGAAAGCTAGGGGCAAGGAAGCATAGCTGGGAACACGGGGTGACTAGTGAGGCGATGCGACTGATTTGCACGGGGGGGACGTTTGACATGAACAGAATTCAAACAGAAGCAAACTGAGGGACCTTGCGAGGGGGGGGGAGGGGGAGAGACTTGAGGGTAGGGGGGAGGGCCCCCCCTCTACCTTATGCCACGCGCCGCAACCTTCAAAGAGGGAGGGGAGGGAGGGGGGAGCGCTCTGCACCTTATCCTTCGAAGATACTTCATCAACGAGGTGAGGGTGGGGGGGGCGGCACCCCCTCCCCTCCCACCCCCGACCTTAACTCTTGGACGTCCCACCTGATAAGGTGCAAACCCTGTTTTTTCCCTAGTGCCTCAATACAAGGTGAATTGCTGAAGGACAACTCCCGCAATCTCAACAGAGCTAGCTTTCGTGATATCTAGTAATAGTAGTCGTCATCGTAGTCGTAGTAGTAGAAGAAGTAGAAGTAAAAGTAGAAGTAGAAGTAGAAGTAGAACTAGAAGTAGAAGTAGAAGTAGAAGTAGAAGTAGAACTAGAAGTAGAAGTAGAACTAGAAGTAGAAGTAGAACTAGAAGTAGAAGTAGAAGTAGAAGTAGAAGTAGAAGTAGAAGAAGTAGAAGGAGTAGAAGGAGTAGAAGGAGTAGAAGGAGTAGAAGGAGTAGAAGGAGTAGAAGGAGTAGTGAGTAGAAGTAGTAGTAGTAGTAGTAGTAGTAGTAGTAGTAGTAGTAGTAGTGGTAGTAGTGGTAGTAGTGGTAGTAGTGGTAGTAGTGGTAAGGTTCCGGGCTCACCTAGAAGGTCCGTGCCCAATGTTCGAAGTGGATGCCCTCCTTGGCAGCTAGCGGTAAAGAACCTCTCCCAGAGTCCAGCACCTGGTAAGGCTGGTAGAAGATGTAAAGTGTCAAGGAAGTGATCAAGACCAGACTGATCGTCGCCATTTGTAGTGCCTGGGTACAGGGCTGACCAGTGCGTCTTTGGAACACCAGCTTCGCGCAAGGAAAACCTCTATGTCCTAGAAGAAGCTGGTGAGTAGCTCGGCAAGCTACTTGGAGGTTCATGGGTAGTTCAAAAGTAGGGTTATAAGTCCCCTGATATGGTTTATAACTATAGTTCTCCCACTTATATAGCTACCCATGAACCTCCAAGCTACTGCACAACCGCCCGGCCGTCGATCTACGTAAAGCTTTCATCGGCAAGAGGGCTTCGACCTACAGAGGTGCAAGTCTCCTGAAACTTACCGGAGCCCTCCGAGTCCCAGCATCCTCGAGCTTTTAAGGCTCTGAGGCCTTCAGGGCCTTTCCTCATCTCAGGAAGGAGGAGGAGAAGTTTAGAACCGCAAGGATTTCGGGCAAGGGCCTACAAAGGGGGTCTTACGGGCTTTGGGGCCCATTATACTGTAATTATGGTATGGCAATAAGGAACCCCCAAAATATCTAGGTAATTCTTAAGGCCCCTATGCTGTAGAACCCTACTATAGATCCCTTTGGGGAACCCTTCAAAGGGAATGCAATTCTAGTCATTTAAGGCCCCTATATCACCACAATACGAAGGGCGTCCCCTTTTGTGGAACCCAGGGGCCGGTGAGACGGTAACGGGGATCATCGTCGTGAGGAGCGCGATGAACATCTTCCGAACCAATCGCTCCACCTCCAGGCCGAGGTGGGAGTTTCCGAAAGTAGGGGAAACTCAAATATAGTACCCTAAGTAGTAGGATCCTTATTATAAGGGCTACCTTGTTTGGGGTCGTTATACTCAGGATCCTGCCATGTGGGGTGCTATATTAGGGTCTCCTTTTTTCGGAAACTCCCACGCGTGTCGAACAAGCATGAACCGTATGGTCCCTTCTTGGAGGAATGGGTATCAGCTGTTCGACCTGAAGGCGCTGCGAAGTTGCTGTGGGACAAGAATGGTTGTGACAGCTCGAGTTCACACCTCAACCTAACACAGTACTGCCAAAGTGCTACCGAATTAACACACTCTGAACGGAAGAAAGCATCCTCGACTCCTGCGTTAGTTGCTAACTTAAGAATTTGCCCGGATTCTTCGCTCGCGCCACCAAGCCTAAAAAAGCACTTG